TGATTTAATCTTCTGTTGAATACCACAAGAAGCCTGCCTGTATGTACAGTACTGCGTTGGCATGTTAAGTAATGATTGTTGTCCTTCGCTGGGCTGTATGACTCACTGGAAAGTCATGATCAGCCACTTGCATGATGAGTTTCAAAGCTCTGATAATTATATGACAATTACAATATTATAATTTTATTTAGAAGATGTCATTATGTGGACATGCTTGGAGCAGATTAAGGTTTAGAAAATATGCTGCTATTTTAAACAGCAGCTAAGAAGTTAAAAATGAAAAATGATGTGTAGTTTCACTTCTGTAATAACAGCCTGGGAAAATGAGTCATTTTATCTTGAGTTACATTCCTCTTTTACTTTCGCTGAATGTAAACCCTTAAGCAACACTTTCAGGGGCTTTCATTAAAAAGAACTCTGACACAGATGCTTTTTGTCTTCAGAATGCAATTGAAGATAAACCTGTAATGAAAACACTTTATGCTTTATTCCTTTTTTACTATGTTTTTATCCAGGAAAGCTAATGAAGGTTTGCTGGCTCTCAGTCAAGAAGATGCAATGCCGATTTCTTTGCGGCAGCTGGCCTATGGTATGTTGAAAGAAACGAGGTGTGGAACTGTCAGGTGACCGATACCAGATAGCTAGAACTGACCAGTCTGTGCAGCAGACAAAAGAAGTCTGCAGCACTTTGTGGGGTTCATTTCCTTTTCGGTATGTGCGAGTTGGGTGCAGTGTATTGGGAGTCACTGGGAACGGTCTCCTCCTCCTCCATCGCTGGGTGTGTAGACATCGCATCTTTCTCTGGTGCTGTGCCCCAGGGACCTGGGTGTGGGAGGGTAGCAATCTAGCGCTTTGTCTTTGTCGTCGGCTTGTGAGTCTCCATCTTGGCCCACGGGCGTTCGGCGTTTTGCCGGCTTGCTCGCAGTCTGACTCGGCCTGTCTTTCCCAGTGTCCGGCCTGGGGTTTGGTTTCATGAGCGGCGCCTTTTCAGTCGTCAACATCCTGGCGGATTCTGTCGGCCCCGGCGCGGTGGGGATTCACGGAGATTCGCAGCACTATTTCATATCCTCAGGTAAAGAAAGCTCATATCCAGCCAAGCAGGTCATTTTGACCTCAGTGCCTCGGGCCTTGCCTGCACAGTTGGAATAAATACACAGTCATGCCCTTTAAGGGCGGCGCAGTGAAGCAGTGATTGGACCTGCTGCCTCTCGGTTCTCGGCCCTCAATTCCCGTTTTAAGTTCTAAACCGAGGAGCGTGTGTGCGCTCCCAGGCCTTCCCTGTGTGTCAGAAAGCGGGAAATCGGGGCTTAAGCTGAAACAAGTTAGATAGATATGACCGTGAGACGATGTAAACACCCCTACTCTTCCACAAAGAAATTCAGAGGATCTTTAATGAATGTAACAGCAGTAGGTCCTCAGTTTAACCTCTTACTCAAAACATCTCATTTTGATTTTTATCACATCTTATAGGACTTAATAGTACTATTAGACAGGGGCTTAAGCACAGAAAAAGGGCTATAGATTGTAGGTACAGATCGTTTCTTACAGAAATCATTGTAACACACAGATCAACCTTTATTGTGGTTGTTTTACATGGTTGACTTGGCTTTGCCTTACTGTGAAATTTTGTGAAGGACTGTCCAATGTGCTTTCTGAAATAGGCCTTAGGACTAATGGGACACATTTCCTGTTGCTATTTATAGGTAACAGAAACCCCCTTTGGTGTCTTGTAGTGTTTAACTATGGGTTGTTTGGTGTCCTAGCAGATTCACTCTGTTAAAACTAACTTGGAGTGTGATTGCATGAAATGGCCACTAGAGGTCACTAAAGGAAGGCTTTTCTGTAGTACCTGAAGTAAATCACAGCATCACCTAGCCCAGTAATGTCATGGAAGTGAATGCTAAACATTGGACCTCAGCCAGTCATCGAAATAATTCAGAATAACATGTAAAACAGGAGTGGATACCCTTTACAAAACACAGATCTGGTATAGCAAGGCAGGCATGCTTAGTGTCAGTACCAATGATGAGTATCACTTATGTGAGGTTTTGCCATCACGGTTATGCTATATCTCTTTAGTAAGGAACTTTCGGATTCTGACAGTAGCTAAAATTACATTTAAAAACTTCCTTAAACACCTTTAGTTGGATGTTATAATGAAAAGGTTATCTTATTTAAGCCAGATTAGGGGAAGGGTAGTGGGCTCTTGTCTCTAATTAAATAGAAGAAGCTCTAGCAGGGGAGAGAGAAGTATGTCAAAAGAGCAGAAAAAGGGTCATTTGAAAGAATGCTAACTCAGACAGATCTGTCTAAAAACGTTATAGATTGCAAACTTAACACAAAGGAAGATACGTTGAAACGGCTTTCACACTGTCGTCCTGCAAGTGTGTAAATACAGAACATGACACTTTTAAACAAATTACATATAGTTTAGCAGCTGAGGTGTAAAGCAGTTTTGCAACATAGTATACTTGTAATATTTGTAGTAATGCTTTTAAGTTTTCACATTGTCCACTAGATGATGCTACCGTTTCAGCTTATGTCGGGCTGTTTCACTGGCAAATTGTGCTTAATGTATAATGAAGGAAAGCAAAAAGGATTGTTTTGAAATTTACTTTGTATTGCATAATGGTATGAAGTCTGAAAATACCCCTTATTTACATTTGTAAGTCCTCATTGTGTGGATTTAAACCAATATTCACTGATCACTTGGAAGAAAAAATACAGATTTAAAGTTCAAAATGGGGTTAAAGTTCAGATTGTTTATGAGATCAAAGGTGGGCACAAACCGAACAAGATAAACAGAAAGAGACATACATCAAGGGAGATTCATGCATCACAAGATATCGCAGTGTATTTAAATGTCAAGCAGAATCTGAGATGAGCTGTGTTGGGTCAGGCTGCTGATTGCATCAGGTCTGTTGATAAAAGTAAGTTTTTTTTAAATAACACTGTTTTTCAGCCTTCATGACTATGGCCGTCATTCTGCTGCACATGTTTTGGGGTGTGGTGTTCTTTGATTCCTGTGAGAAGAAGAGGTGGTGGTCTGTGGCTGTCGTTGTTCTGAGCCACCTGCTCGTGTCCTGCCTGGTATGTATTTCACGGAAGTGAAGATCTGTTTGTGGGAAATGAGCGTTCCCCCTCGGGTTACGGTACCGTGAAACGACGTGGCGGCGTGTCCCCCAGGTGATAGCGTTGTGGGGAAAAATGTCATAATTGAGACAATTGAGTGACACAAAGGAGAACGTAATGGGAAAAACCCGCAGAAAGATTAAAATGCATCCCGATTCTTTTTTAATTGTGGGACAAACCTCTCTACTCCCTGAAATTTGTCTTAGTATTCCTGGGACGTAGGAGGTGTTAGCTCCTGGCAAAGCTGAATGGGACACGTTGTAGTTAGGTCATCATGAATGACTGCTTGCGATGGGTTTTTGCTGGGAGGGGCCTGTTGGAGATGGATGTGTAAGTGTGCTTCACAGAGAAAATGGTTGAGAACGACTGTACTGCTCGTTGCTGAAGCAGTGTTTTCTCTGAGGCTACTGTTTCAAATTGTGAACAAACTGTGTTTGTTCACATGTGACTTTTTTTTTTTGCTGTGTTTCAGACGTTCCTGAACCCACAGTATGAAGGCAGCCTCATACCAGCCTATGTCATAATGTTTCTCATGGGCTCTTGGGCTTTCTCCTGTGCCGGTGGATCCCTGAGGAACCTAAAACTCTGTTTAACTTGCAAAGACAAGGACTTTCTGCTGGCCAACCACAGGCCCAGATAACAGAGTCACAAACAGGGACTCTCTGCACAAAAAAAAAACTCTTTTCATACAAAACGATTAAGGACTGGTTAAATTAAATCTTTGCATTTTTTTATTTTTTGAGTCATATGTACATGCATTTTGTGGTGGTAGTGGTGAAAGGTTCTGGGTAGATAGGCACTGGAAATCCTCCAAATCCCCAGGTACGCTTGGAGTTTGAGGAGTCTCAACACAACAATCTTCATTCTTTTGTCCTGCTGAATGGGTTTTTGTCTCCCTGTTCTGAATGGATCACATGTTGAAGAAGAGGATGATGGTGCGTCTGCCTCTAAGATCATCGGTTTCTGGCCCAGACAACTTCTTAACCTGTAGTAGACTTATTGGTTTGTCAGTGTGTGGACTGTTGATGCTACCCAATCCATTTTGCCCGTGATCTGAACAGGATGTGAATCTGGGCATGCAGAAATAAGATTTGTTTGAACTGGAAGAAGTCTAGGGAAACTATATAAATTACATCTGATTTGTGAGCATTATTTTTTTACTTGTATTCAGCCTTTCCTTTTTGGTATGATTTTCCTCCAGTCAGGGAGCATGTAGTGGTGGGTTACTTCATTTTTGTTTTTCCATTCCTGTGGAATCTGTACTCTGCCACCAGTTGGATTGTGCTCTCTCTGTTACTGTGCCTTCCCTGAACAGGTCTTTTTTTGAGTTAGCCGTGTTTTCTAACCATACCTAATACTTAGCCACTGTACATAGTACCTCAGCTCTTTGTTCTGAAGCATTTTCATTAATGGGGCCTCATTGCTAGTCTGACGAATGGTGTGCTGTTGTGCTTTAAATGACAAGGCTGAGAACATTTTCCGCATTTTAGCTGTTTCGTGGTTGAAAAGATGACAAAAATCTGCATCCCTGATAATTTAAAATTCTAGTTATTGCAATGTATATGTAGTTGTTGATTATACTGTATTCTAATCCCATTGAAGCTTAATACACTAATTTATAATCTAAAGAAACATTAACTGTAGTGATAACCAGTTATCTGGTCTAAGAAGATCAGCCATTTTACTGTGCACACAACTTAATTTGCAACTTAATGTATAAATGAAATGATTCCTTTTCAAACGATCCTACAACAATTGACGTAAGATTGTTTTTCATAAATGTGTAGTTTGAAACCATTGTACAGTGCAATTTATTTGTTAATAACAATCAGTTTTATAAGTTAGTGCTGCTAATTTTTTGTAGCAATCCAACCTTATCATGTTACCTCAGAGTTTCTGATCACGTTCCTGGTAGGTAGTGTCCTGATTCTAAATCTGTTTGCAGGAGTATGAAGTGAAATTTAGCATGTGTATACATTCAAGCCTGTAATCTTCTGTTTCATCCTGTACAATTGGTGTAATATAGGGGGAGAGTGTTCTAGAAAGCATTTTCACATTATCGCTCAAATTGAAAGGCTTCACACCAGTTCTCACTAGTTTTTATTGTATTTTTTTTGTACATTTTTGGATTTGCCACCACTGTCACAGCCCAGTTCTGATTGAAACTGTTCAAGGAAATAGTTTAAAAACAAAAGGAATAAACATGTCATAATTTGGATTTCACGAACAATCAGGGTGGTTATCCTTACCCTGAATGGCAGAAGAGTTTATTCTTCTGCAGAACTAAATCAATGAGGAGTTCCTCAATGTCTGATCTGGATTAAGGCATCTTCCTGACTGCATAGGCAGTTTATGTCTGATTCCAAATGGTAACAGGCCTGACCTCCTGTCCAGAGGACTCTACTACTAATTTCATCAAACCAAGAGGATGCTGAACCTCTCCTGCCTTCTAAAGAACAGTACCTCAGCAAACCCTCCCCAGTGACAATGCCTGACCAGGAGATGGACACTACAGGGAGAGGAGTTCTCTCTCTCTCTGATCTTTTGGACCTTATAGTGATGAGTTTTAGCAGTGAGTGTTTATTCAGATCAGATTCAGATCTAGGTGAGGAAAAAGAACTGTAAGAATCAAGAAGTCCAAAGATGACTAAGAGTTATGCTGGAGTTCAATGAATGATGCTTTTGTCTTACATTACCTCTAGACTGCAGTTTATAGCTCAGTTTAAATAAACTAGGCTTTTCTTGTACGAATTTATTGTTAGTAGAAAGTGAATGCTGTCTGGCTAGCTTTTCAAACACTTGCTAAAAAAAAAGCAAACTCTGCAGTACAACTCAGGCAAAATTTAGTTGGTAACAAGTGTTTGAGAACATTTCCTCACTGTTATGCACTTGAGGTACTCTGAGGTGACCTTTCAGTACACTCCTAAAGTCATTTACAGCTGTCAAGCATGCTACCTGTAGAGCAGTAAAACAAGCCGGCTGCTCTTACTGGTGTTCAAGTGCTTTAACTGCACTCTTGTAGTTTCATTGATCTTACAAATGAAAATTGGAAGAGATTTTGGCATCCCTTGAACATGCATTTTTATTCCAGACGTACCTTATAGCTTTCGTAAATAGTACCAATGTGAGACACCTTTGCTCACAAAAATATATAGTGATTTGATTTATTTACTTCCATGCAGTCTCCTCTCTTTACTGTAATTTTTTACCGTCTTATCAAACAAAGTGAAGCCTTTGCCTAGCCCTTCTGAATGTTATTATAGAATACTAAAATTTCAATTTGTTCTTGCACAGGTTTGTAGGTCTCTGCAAGTATATTTATACTAGTGTAAGTTGGGACAGGACAGATAATTAAAGTTAAATTTGCCAAGTAAAGTGATTTTGGAGAGATGACTTCCTGTCTTGACACTATAAACATTCGATTAAATCTATTAACCAGAAGAAAGGAAGGGCCAGTTGGTTTCACTGGTTTCATGAGCTCCATTCCAGAAGGCCCATTCATGAAGCAAACTGTCTATTGCTTGATAAAGTATTGAAGGCTTCACAGGGACTAGTGACTTCGAAATATTCCACAGACCTAAATTATTGTTTGGAAACCTTTCATATAAAAGTGTTTGCATGCTGATTCTTCCTGGTCTAATTTGAGGTGTGGAGTTTGACTGTTTTTAACCTTTCCATGTGGGTTTTCACTGCCAGGCAGGTTAGGGCTGATTGGCTACCAGGCCTTGTGATGATTGATTGAACATTTTAATTGCTGAATTTCTTTTCTTTTAGTAGGGGGCTTGGAACTCCATGCAGTTAAGGCACTTTTCTCTATTAAACTATGAAAACGAATTTGATTTTATTTTCCTTTATCCTGTAACGACAGTGTGGCATGTGTTGTAGTGTGACTGCAGTTACTCAGTAAATTGGTTTCGATAATACTCCTTCCACATATATAGTGCTTTCCTGGACACTCCACTCAAAGCACTTTACAGGCAGTAGGGTTCCCCTTCACCACCAGTGTGTGTAGCCCTACCTGGGTGATGTGACAGCAGCCAAAGTGCACCAGTACCCTCATCACACACCAGCTCTCAGTAGGAAAGAATAGAGTGATGAATCCAATTCAGAAATGGGGATTATTAGAAAGACATGATCGTTAAAGGGCACAGGAAAAGCTGTCTAAGATCTGGGTAACTGATTTTTTTTGTCCTCCAATTTACTAGGGTAACACAGTAGATATCATGTATATTAGCAATGCTCATAATTTGGAATGGGCTCCCCCCCCCCCACTTCAGTCTCTCTACCAGAGCTAATATTTTAAATACCCTCTCAGCCCATCATAAACATGCTCCACGAAGCTATAATTTATCTTTCAGTTGGGGGGGGGAACGAATTGAAGCCAGTATGGGCTTCTCATGAAATACTGTATACGTTCCAGGAATGGGTCTTTGTGGTAAGCTAAGATGCTTTACGTTGCACCAAATTAAGAAGTGGGTTTGTTTCAGAAATCACTCAATATTAGGCTAATATTGCATAATATGAAATACACTGGGTTATTCCAGCAGAACATTTGTCACACTGTTATTCTTTGGGGAGAGTGACAATGGGTGTGGCTAGATATTGTTGAGGCAAGATGGTGGCAGTTCTATCGAGTTGATTGGGATTTTAGTTTTGAGGTACTGTATTTGCACTGTAAAAGAAACTCAGTGGCAGCTTATTTATTCAATTTTTTGGAGTCAAATGAACATGGCAAGCTACAATTAAAAGGCAAATCTAACATAACTGTACAATTAAAAACCATTTGGCAACAAATGAACAATGCAACAATAGCCATGACATCACAGATCTGGCCGTTTCAAACAATACCAACCACTGCAGTAACATCAACAGGGAAGACCAAGTTTTGTACATGACATTGGCATATTTGAAGTGAAACCATGCAGACAAACCATAAAAATCAGCCCATGGCTTTCTATACTGAAGCCACAGGCAAATCTCTTTTCCCCAGCACAAGCACCCACATTTACTAAAGACAAACTAGTTTTTGCCTTCTCTGATCCCTGAGTATCTGAGCCCCTCCTCTGCTTCCTTATGAAATTACCCAGTTGAAGGGGTCTCACAAATCTATTAGCTGCCTGTTTATTTTAAAAAGAGACAATGTTGCTGAATCCAGGAGTACCTTCCTCATCGGACCTTAATTTGGGCTTCTAATGTTTGCAACTAGTACAATGTATGGCACATTCATCAATACCTTGCTCTGTGTGAGGAATTGCTTGCTTCAAAAGACTTCTAATATTAAAAAAAAAGAACAATTTGTGAACTTGTGATTAAGAAGCATAGGAGTCTGCTAATCGTCTTGCTTTTTTTGTTATAAGTAAACAAAAAGTATTTTATCTGCTAAATGTTTAAAGCATGCTTCCATCCCCCTAAGGCTGGCTGAAATGTAAGTAGATGCAGTGATAAGTTTAAATATCTAAAAAGAAATTGCTATTCCAAACAAATTCTTGAATTTAAAGAAAAAAAAATCTTCAAACAATCCACACAACAGTTACAACTAACCAGTTTAAGAAGTGATCAATTTCAAGCTTCTTTGGGAATAGTTCCAGTTCTATTGTAAAAAAATGCTTTAAGTTTAAATCCAGTATGTGCATAATTGATTCAGTAGCAAAACTGACCTAAAAATTCTAGAAATGTTGCAATGCTAAATTCAGAATCTGAGGTCACATCATAGGTCTAGACTCAACTTATGTTACTTAAGATCTTGTAGGACATATGGGAAGTGGCAGTAAAAAAAAATCCCCATTTCCATTCCTAAATAATCCTTTAAAGGGCTTTTTGTTCTAGGCTTTGTTTGCAGCCTCACTGTGAACACGTCCATTCTCAGCATCAGCTGAGCTCCAACGGAAGGAGAGCACAAAAGGTTCTTTTCTGCTGGTCCAGCAAGATGCTAGTCTCGTGCTGTGGAAGGCAGAGGTGGAAGGATACTGAACCAATTGGCTGTTTCCTTCCCCCCCCTCTGTACATTGGGGTCAAGGGTTGACCCACAGCCAGCCTAAATAACAAAAGCTTTGTATCTATAATTCACATCTATCCATCATTGCAGCACTATGATAATACTGCTTTATTGCAAACATAATGGAAGACTAGCCCAATTACTGTGGGAATTAAGATTGGTCTCCACTGTTACAACACAGATCAACACAAATGCTTTCTTTTTCTTCAAAACCTGTTCTAGTCTTTTTTTTTTCTTGGAATGACCCTCTCCTTAAAAATGTCAGCAAAATGGCACCCTGCTGCCTTGCCCCCTATCACAGAATAGAACTTTGCATGAGTTGAGTTTTTGCAAGACTCAAGTTTGGGGGGGGTTTGTAGCAATAACCCGTGGCGCATCAAAGACAAGCCTCCGTTTTATCCTACATCTGCATTTTAAAAGTGCTGCACTTTGATGGAACTGTGGTGAGCTTATCTCCAGTCCTTGCACTGTACAATTCTCTTCTCAAGTAAATGGCATATGATTTAAGGATTGCAGTAGTCCACTTAAATTTCCAGTTCCAAAATAAGTCTCTAGTCCCCCCCCCAAAAAGCATAAGGAGTAAAATACGAGCCGCGAGTGTTTTGGATGTAAAGGAAGAAAAGGGTGCACAACGGAAAACTGACGAGATCTGCAGGAGAAGTCCTTAAGGAGAAGAAAGTTAAGCCTCTGCCCAGTGTATTTCTGCTGCCTCAATGACTATTGCTTCTGGGGTTCCCAGTTATACTTTTGAAACCTCCTCTTTGTCAGCAGCTGGTTTGTAGATGACATCTTTGTTCTTTTGTTGGTCTTTTTCAGCCCTGGAAAGAAAAAAAAAAGTAAAACTTTATTGCAGTCCAATACAATTTAGTGGCTCAGATAACTCAAGAGGACCATTTCCCTCAGAAACAAAGTGAGGCAAGAGATAAAACTAAAAACCCTTGTAAGGATTTTTCTGGATTACTTTTCAAACTGGATAGCGTAGTCGATCAACTTCAAAATTGGCTGACAGAGTTAATGACAGATAAGGAAACGTATAGTTTACAATGGCATGAAAACCAGGAGTGCATTCTAACCACTATTTTGGTCTCAATTCATATCTGCTCCTCTTGAGAAATGCTCTACCAAGAGAATCTTGGCAGGTTACGTCATCACCCAGATGTTTTAAAATTTTGCACCACACAACTGCTGTGATGGTAATATACACCAGGTGAAAAATGTGGCTTCTACCACAGACACCTTCCATTCAAGAAGGGACATTTGGTCAAATAATTGAAAATGTGGTAGCTTTTCATCCTATAAACATTTAGCAAAATAGGGTTCCTCAAAAAAACCTAAGGCCATCTAACATTTCTTTGAACTGCCAGGGTTCATAAATGGTTTACATGCCACCTCAGAGTCAGCAGGCATAATCCTAGGAATGAGCAGATATGGTCCTTCACAACAAAATTCCACAGTAAGAATTGATCACATCAGAGAGTAAACCTCAAATGGCTCATGTTTAAAACAGTCTACCCACTTAATTCCAGACCAAATCCTGTTATCCTGGGGAAAATACAATTACAATATTTACAGTGGTGTTCATGTAAAACCACTGTGTAACCAACTTCAAACTTTGTATGGATCATCCCAGACAGTTTAATTGGCACATTGCATTAGAAACTAAAGCACTATAGCCTGCTTTCCTATAGTGCAATTTTCTACTGTAGTCTACCCCATACTGTCACTGCAACATTTCTTGGGCCTGGTTATGGAAAAATATAGAACTTGTTTGGAAGCTTTAAAATGTGCTTATAGTGTTCCAGTTTTACTTTGAATTCAATGAACATGAATAGTATTCACTTGCAAAATAGCATTGTGACAATTTCATTTTAATCTAATGGGCATTCCCCTTTCAAGATAAGGCCAACAACAATAACCTCCTTAATGCAATATTCATTCTAAAATTAGATAAAAATAATATCTTTCAGAAAGCACAGCAGATGCAGGAATAGCTCTGGCACTATATGGAATCCCTAATACATAGTCTCATAACCATCAATTAAATAGCTTTCTTTTGGCAAGAGATAATAGCTGCATTACCAGTTATCAGGCATTCTGTTAAGTTATTAAAATAGAACTTCCTTATTCTCAGTGTGAGAAAAACCACAAGCTTGCATGCAATTGGACAAGCTCACATATTGTGGAGTCTACAGATTAGAGATTTCTAAACTACAAAGTCAAAAAGAAAATGAATCGGTCTGAAAAGGCTTAAGACCTCAAAATATAAGAAAGGCTGCAATGCAAAGTTTATTTTGCTTGTTGTGGTTTGAAAGTTTTTTTGCTCAGTGAAGAATCAGCAGATGATTCGCAGCCTGTGCATCTCATGTCTGGTTCCATGAAGGCTTGCCATTACAGGGATCAATACTGCAGTCCATTTAAAAAAAAAGGAAATGTTCTCACTCCCAGCATGTGACATCCTTTTATTAGACTGAGGGGATCGAGTTCAAATATCTCAAATTCTCCAAGGCATTAACAAAGTCAACTTAAGAATAAATTAAATGCACAATTAACTTAAGAGTAAGTAAAATGATTCGGATGATACAAGTGGAAACGACAGACTTCCAAGAAGTGACAAGTTTTTTCCTGCTTGAGTCAGGGGACATTTAGTCATGCGATTCAAATGCAGGGAATTAAACAAAACCTCCAGCAGTTTAAAGCTGTAATGTTGGTTCTTTGTTTTTTTTTTGCCCTTAATATCATTTTATGGAATTAAACTACTGCAATGGACTAAAGAACTGGACGAAGGTTTATGACTAGATCTTCCACCCCTGATATGGATGAAGCCAAATAAGTTTAAGAATTGTGACTTGAAAGTACCAGACGTTTTACCCAACTGAACACTAAGGTGATTTTATGCGTTTCTTCCTAAAGAAAGGAACTAAAAAAAAACCCACCTTGGGTATCTGGTTAAGAAAAAGACAAAATGAAAATCGTGTGGCGATCATGGCTTCAGCTCTTTGCAGTCATCCAGAAGCTGATAACTGACAATTTAAGTGGCAGTAGCATTAAAACTTACTAAAAGTAGAGCACATCATTTTATCAAAGATAGCAGTTTGCAGATGACCATCATAAAAAAAAAAAGACCAACTTTCTACTTCAACCTCAGAGGATCTTAAATATACATGCATACATGTTACAATCTGTTTTGTTGTCTCTGACACTTCCACCAAAAGGATTCTGTGATCACCGAAATGTTCTAGTGCTTACTGTAACCTTCGTCTTCCTCAGGTTCAGAATGGAGCGTGACCATTGTGGTCAACATGATTGTTTTGGTCTGTGGGTATTGGAGCCAGGAACAATCCATAAAAATAGTAGGAAACTAAAAATAATGCCAGCATGAAAAACCACTTCAAATCATCCTCCCTGATATCCCAGGTCATGCCCCATTCACCTGAAATTTTCAGCTCCCATTTCCACATGTGTGGGCTGACAAGACTAGCAAGTGAAAACGTTAAGGAAAGCAGACATTTGTTTTCTGTCCAGATTTTATGCCTCTTTGTAATCTACTTCTCAAACACCAATCTCGGAAATGGCAGGCCACCTGCCTCCTGCAAATATTGCACTGAAGGAGCAGGAAATGAGACTGAGATGCAACCAGCTACCATTCTTTTAAGTGTTGAGTTTTAGTTGCCCCTTATTGACCCCATGCTTGAAAATACTACAGCTTGCTGACCTTCACCCAACCTCTTAGGGTATTCTAAGAAGAGCACAGTCTACAGTATAACAGAAAGAGAAGCCAGTTGTATAGTCAACCACTTATGTCTCAGGAGCATCAAGATAGACCACCATATTTTCATTTAAGAGAGGATGTTATTAAATGTGGTGCCACATAATGCATGATACACGTGTGCAGTAATTCCAATAATGCAGACTAGGATTCATCAGTTTGTGGTTTTGCGGTTTCTGGTTTTGCATGAGGAAATGGTGAGCTTTAACCTCTGCAACTTGTCTTGTGTTTCTAGTGTAACATGTTCATACCAGACCTCCGTGGAATGAGACAGGCTGGGAATCCTGGAATTGTTTTTGTTTTTTAAAGAAATGTTCCACATTATTTTAAAAACACACAATTGGGTTCTATATAATCAGACAGGATGCATTTTTCTGACTCTCTGTGTTATGGATGTGACCTTTGTGAAGTTGAAGCGTTTGACTTCCACTGTTTTGTACATTTCCTGCACATTTTGGATACTATTCTCATGTTGTTAGTACCTACAAATACAGGTCAGCCCATGTGTTATAGCTGCTGAAGCCTTGTGTTAAAAAGCTAAATACAGTGCAAGGTCCATGTAGGTCATTTCAGAAGAATCATGAGAGCACTAAAATAACTAACTTCAGGGATGTGATAATTAGTGGCACGTGGAATTTTGCGATGAACTTCATTGACAGTGGCAAATCTGAAATCCATATTCCCTGCTCAATAAGCTAACACACCAAGGCAGACAAGTTCTACAGGGTTTTAGGGGGATTTGCATTGCCATCTATTGCATGTCGCGTTAAAATCTAAATTAAATAAAAAAAACCTCTCTGTACACCAGATTCCTTTCTATTTTCTTTTTGAAACACCAGCAAGATTGGTTATTGGCGTCAGTTTCTTTTGCCCAAGGTAACACTCCTCAGGTTAAGAATGGAGTAAAATGAAGAGGCAAGAACTCTTGACTCAGCATCCCTAAACAAACTAGTTACGCGCATGAAACCCACCACATCTATTTTAGATCCCATTCCCACCACTTAATTCCAGTCCTGTTTCTCTTCTCTCTGTCCCATTGTCCTCAATATAATACATGAATCCTTGAGCACCGGCATTGTACCAACGGTCCTCAAAACTGCTGCTATT